TTTTTTTTTGATTGCATAAACAAATGCGGTTGGTAAAAGTTAAATAAAGCAAAAAAGTTTTTGCGGTGAAAAATTCAAAAACTACTCGTTAGATGAATGGCCAGTATTGTGTTTAGACAAATGCCACCATATTCAGTGCTCTTTCATGCCGACATTGATGTTATCCATCACGTTTGTGACAGTTTCGCTAGCGCAGCTCAGTACGGTGCTCTTCAGTTTCATATGTCTGTATTCATTTTTAAATAGGAATTTGAATAATGACAAATTCAGAAAGATTAATGTTAAAGGTGGCACAAAATATTGGATGAGGCAGTTAGTTAACAGTAGCATTCAATGGGGTCAAAAAATGGAGTAAACCTGAGGAAATAGCCGTACTAAAAAGCTGTCTATCTTAGAATCAATAGAAAGCAGTTCAGTAAGGTTAATCAGTGGAGCAGACAGTTGTTTCAGTTTCAGTGACAGCTATAAATACTGTTTGCATTTTTTGCCATTCTTAAGACACCTGTTCGTTCAAAAATTGGTTTCTTTCTTTTCACTTCAACTGTTAATTTTTTTTTTTTTGGTATTTTATTATAAAGCTACTTTTTTTTTGTTTAAAAACAGCAAGTGATTTTGGCGGAGAACAGTGTTGAATTCATATAAAAAGACATCACACCCATTTTTCAAATGAGTCGTCTTTATTGATTCTACTTTTATCACGTTTTGCTTCGTAGAGTAATGTCATAAAGTCAAAGGTTTAAACAGAGAACTGTCTACGAGGAGAACAATGAACGAACAACGCTAGAGAAAAATGGAAAGCAAAAAGTAGCGAACAAAAACGAGTGTGACTGAACCTATTCTAAAAACAACAAAATTTTTAGTTTTTAAAAATGGCAACTAAGGTCTACGTCAAGTTTAAAAAATGTTACAGTTGGCTTTTGGAAAAGTTCAGGTGCCGATGACAACTACCAGCACAGCTTCCGATTACTAGTCATTAGTCTATTTACTGTTGAAAAATAATGCTTGACGTGCTAATAACTGCCTTGTTTGAGCTTTGGTTAATGATACGAAATTAGTGGTAGAGTAACGGATAGTTTACTTAGCGTTGTAAGTAAGCAAAGTGTATTTATTTTCAACTTCAAACGGATAGTTAATTTTTCTTTAAATTTTTACAATCTAGTGATTGAATAAACCTGATAGATAGTTGATTTCTCTTTAAATTCTATAATCTAGTGACTGAATAAACCTGATTTTTGTATTAGTAGCTGAGCCAATAAAGGAATAACATTTTTGTTATCATACGCGGAATTAAATAATTAATCACCAGGAAATCAGTTCAAGTGTACTCATGCTAGAATTGATTTCAGGTAACCAAAGATCCTGTAAGGGAAGAAGGGAACAGAGTCAAATTAACCAGTAATTATAATTCCAAAAAGTTTAGAAAAGGGGATTGAAAAAAATGTAATGGAAGCCAAAAAGTTTGAAGACTTAGTTTCGTTTAACAAATGTTTGCAACATTGATGAAATCTTAATGCATAATTGCCATTTTCATAGGTTTATTTCAAAAAACGTTAACTCTCAAAAGTATTAAAAAATGTAATATGTCAGAAACGATGAAATGGCAATCGTAGCTGTTTATTGGAACTAAAAAAACTACGGAAGACAACAAAAGGTTAGCAACAAGAAAACAACTACTAGCATTTCAAAATTGCCAGTCTTTGATCACTATTCAGAATAATGGCTGAAGCCGCCAGAGCTATCAGCACAAAAAGGAAGAAAGGAGTTTTCTGTATCAAGATAGCGTGTTTCTCGGCAACCATAAACAACCAACGGTATATACGGTTTAAACTTATTGCAAAGCAAGTCCGTTGGAAGGCCAACAAAAGTTGGCACCCTTCTCATCTTGTTTTGAATTATTAGCTGTGCGCACTGGAGGAGTTTCAGTTGTTCTGGGGACATCGCAGCGAGAATGTTTTGAATCTAAAAACCATTGATAAATGCTATTAGGATCATTTTGATCTTTATTCTCAAAATAGCAAGGTGGGCCTACCAAAACTCGTTACATATTTGCTCCTATTTTTATAAGCTTTAGTTTTTTCCATACACCAAATTTTTAAAGAAAGAAATAAAAAGACAATTGCAGGAAAAACTAAAAAATTTTCTTCTGTCTTAAAGGTTAAAACTTGGAGTATTTAGCTTTAAAATTAAAAACTCCCGCTGGATTGAATTAGACATTGAAAAAACCTGTGAAACTTCTTTTTTTTTTTTTGCTTGAAAAAGTAATTCTTTCCACTAATTAGAGATTACATTTGAGTTTGCTAGACGGCGAAATTTCTACTTATTTGAAACTTACATCACAAGTACTGCTTCAAGCCAGATCGAAAAAGTTGGTCAGAGTTTCACAAAATTGTACTTCGACCTTTACGTCTTTAGGGCGACATAATTTTCCACATCAAATCAAATTTGTACCATCGTTACGGTAGTGACAATACAAAGTAAGTCTTAGCTACGGACCAAAGCTCCAAAGTATAGTTTTTAGAAAAAACATTTAGTTGTGGGAACACTATATCCAACAAAATGCTAAAGTTGCTATGGTTAATGGATTCATTTCGAGTTTTCACTACCGAACCTTCATGCGACAAACTTTCTAAGACTTTTTGATTTATGTATTTTTGAGCTACGCTAAGAGCACAATATTTTAGTAGGTTATTGAACAAAATATTTCTTCAGTTCAGCCGAAAATATTGATGTTTTGACGTTATTAATGTGACTTTTTGTTTTACTGAATATTGCTTTGCTTTGCACAGCTTATCCTGATAATAAGGGTTCTGTGACGTCGGTAAAGAGTTTAAAACGTAATAAGCACAAAAGATGGAGAAAATTTTTTTTGTTGATCTAACCGCTAGCTGTTTTTCTGCAACTGTCGCTAAAGTGTTACTGATGACGGCCTCAATATTTGCCAAATTGAGGTTAAGTAAATTTACTAGATCCATTATACCGCGCATTGTTTGATTGGCTAACAGCCTCTTGTTAGACAGCATCGAACTTATCTTTGTCTGAAAAAGTTTAGTAAATTAAATTTTGTTTTCTTCTAAGAAACTGTTTAGATTACTCCATCATATTCTTCATAACAAGGCATAGCATGCGATATGAATTTAAAATTGTATACAATGATTCTCCTGCAGAGAACCTTCTAGAAGTCAGTAATACTAAGTAAAGACAAGCGGTGAAAAACATACGTAAACAGTTTCGCCTTGCCTCTGAACCCAGTCTAGAATAAGAGCCTCTTTATAAGTCTCGTAAATAGTGTTGTTCTGACAAATCTTGAACAGCTCCTCCCAAGATCCAGCTGTGATATGGCATAAAAATGCTGGTATAAAAGACCCTTTTCCTTTATTGTGTTCATGAAGGTGGGTATGGTGATGATAATGATGCTGCAATTGACTGGGATAAGAAATTTGTGGATGGAATGATTCGTAAAAGTCTGATCCAAAGATGCGTGAGTCGTCGTAGTAATTATTATAGTATTCACCACCATAGTCACCACCATAATAATCATGCCCGATGTAATCCTTTTGGACTTTGTATGTTTCGTTGGTGAAACCCTCACTTTCAGAAACATCTTTTGCTTCGGTAATATTAGAGTCCTCGGCAAAAATTCCAGAAATCAGCAAAGTTAAAAATAACACAATATTTGGCTGCATGATGAAGCTTGTGGATGGTCTTATGGTTCAAAACGATCTCGCTCATCTATTTATGACTAAACGTTGTGGGTTTTACCATTTTAACTATTTTTATTAAGGCTTGAGCTATACAAACGGTGCCCTCTTTCAGAACTATATTTTGATCTTTTTTACATAATTAATCATCGACCGTGTGAAACTTTTTGTAGTTTTATGAGGTAATTATTACCTTATGGGCTTTCCATCGCATAAGTGTTGATTGATATTTCCAATTCACTTTCAAACTTTAAAATCTCTTACATTCAATGGAATTAAATGGTATTGAAGCGATAGCAATAGCTAGCGATGTGGTGATGCGTGATAAGTTTGAAATGGTTATACAAACTGAAATTGGAAATGAAAAGTGGGCTGAATGAAAGGCATTTAGTGGAGGCGTCAGTCTTAAAACTTGTTTCGTTGATGTTGAGTAATGGGGTCATTCGACCTCAGATTCTCACGTGTATGCTCTCATATGAGCGAGTAGTCTACTAATTTTGTCTTTCTCGTTGTGTAATGCTATTCAGAGTGCTTCGTTTATTACTTTCATACCAGGAACTCAAAACTTTCTCTTCAACGTCGATCTTATCTCTTAAAATTTATAATATTCTATCAATCTGCAAGGTGGCAAAGTTTACAAATTAGATGAGCAGAAGGTAGCTTTTAATACTGATGTTATCATTCTCGTTGTCAGGAATAAAAGGGGAATTTCTCAGTGATTTAGCGAATTTCCAAATGGCCACCTCAGTTTCAAAGAAGTTTCTAGGTCTGAGTAGTCAATCTAGGTTGTCGATACAAACATATCGAAGATAACAAAGTGTAAATAAAACTTGTGACCTTTCTTTTTGAAAAATCACTGTTTTGGCATTTCACCTCTTTGCTTTCAAATACAAATCGCACTTAGGCCATATTATATAGGGAAATAGGTTGTAAATGGGCCTGAGTTTTTTCAGTTTTTATAAACATAGACGCTCCGAAGTAAACGGAAACATGAAAATTATGAGTATTTTTTTAGGTTTTATGAAATGTAATATGACAACAAAATCTCTTCCTAAGCTTAACTTTTTTTAGGATTAAAGAGCCAAATTTAAGAAGCATTTAACCTCGTGAATACTGAAAAGTCAGCTGAAAAGATTGGGTTGAACAACATAAGTGTTGTCTGCGTAAAATTCATCTGAAGCTTTCAAGCTGGTAAATGTTGCTTATTTATTCCCAAAATATGGTGCACCTTTCAAAACTTCTAAACCTACTTGTTTTTTTGGTATGGAAAATCTTGATTTTGAAGGACCCTAAACTCTAATATCTTTAAAAGTGATATAAATCTACTCAAAAATGAGTGAGTGAATGAGTGTATTGAGCAAAAATGAAGATTTTTCTGTGATTTTAATGGAGTTTGCCTAGGAGGTAACGCTTAAATCTTTCTTATTTTACTTTCCCAGAAACATTCTATGTGGCATTAAAAAGATTGTAAAACGAACTTACCAAAATGCTAATCTGAATTAATAAAAGACGTAACGAACTTGTTATCAGTAATGAAGGTTCTTCAGTGTAACCTATTATTCTACGAAGAACCAGCTTGGCCTTAAGTACTTCTAAATGCCAGACATTTTTTGAAAGTTTTGTGAAACGCAATGCCAGTTGTTTCCAGCAGCAGCTTATTTGCAGCTCTCGACTTTGGCTTCAAGTAAGGTTTGATTGTTTTCAGAGCTTGAGGAGCTGATCTTGAAGGCGCTTGACTTGAATGCGACGGAAGTGGCATTGTGCAGAACCTCAAGCAAGAGAAATTTAGGGAACTACGAGTTCGTTAGTTGTTAGTCGGAAGGCTATAATTATACCAGTTTCGAAACGTGATGATAAGAAAGTTAGAGGGTTGTTGAGTAGATACAGCTAAAGAAGAATTCTGCTTGTAAGAAAAGCTTTTAAAATCAGATTCTGTCGCTTTACAACCCATCAAACGACTTTAGGTGGAGGATGTTCATGACAGAACAGTGGTATTTTCTGTAGCTGAAAATTGTTGGCTCATTTATTTGTTCAGACAAGTTTCTATACGCGTTCATTCAAATTCATTTGGTTTAAGCCTTCTGCATTTTGCAGTTCTAGAGCTGAGCAAAGCAATCACTGTCTGAAAAAAGAGTTCAAAAGTTTATGATGCTGGAATTACTGCTGATACTAATCTTGCTTTAAACAACTATTGTAACGATATAGTTACGTGAGCTTATTGTACTGTAAATTAAAGTTCTTCACTCTGTTAGCGCAAAATTTCCTTGTCTCTTTTTGCAATACAGGCTGTAACCGTTGCTGATTATAATTCACCGTTTTGTTCACTCTGGATCTCAAAGACTGATCTTCACAGGTGACATTTAACGTTATTTTATCAAACATCGCTGAGTATTTTCTACCCTTTCAGTACTGTCATTTGAGCTTTTTGACAAACGAGGGTTGTTGAAGTTAGGTTCTATTGTCTGAAGTCGACAAAAGATGTTTGAACCTCACCGCTTTCAATGAAACGACTCTGCTTTTTTTTTTTCTTCACTAGACAGTGACTGTAGCTAAAAACCAGACGGCTCGCAAATTCCAGTTACCAAGAGATTTTCAGAGGTGAGAGGACATCATTCTGTTGCTGATACTGTTTTAATTTAGAATTAAACTTCTGCTGGTGCATCTCCTCCTAGTTATTGAAATAGTTCAAAGAGGCATTCACGCCCTGGTCTTAATATTTTTATAAAATTTTTGAGAATTTCTTGTTCGGAACTATACTTTCAAACGCATTTACTTTATTGCCACCTTCTGATGCTCTTAACCCACCAGTCGGAGCTTTTCTTTGGGCCTAGTCGGGGGAAGCGAGAAGTTACCTTAACTTTTGGTTTTCGGCTCCTACTATATTCCCCCCAATCCCAGCTTAATCAAGACTTTAATTTCGAGTTTATTTTCCTTATCCTTTTTCGTCTGACACATTTCTTCAAATAATATTCCACTTATTTTTCTTGTCTTTTAAGGGTCGTGTCTTCTAAAACTTTTCTGGTGTAAAAAGTGAGTAAAAGCAAAGAACCGGTAGGAAAACACTAAAGGGTTTCTTTAGTGTACGCTCTTCCAAGCGATGGCAAATCATTTTAAAGAGATTTAGCGACAGTCAGTTCAAGATATCAGAAATGTTTGTAAAACAGTTGTTTCAAAAGGTAACTATGGCATAAAAAGTAAAAGTGCAAGGGTTATACACAACCCGGTGTCAGTTAATAATCAGTCAATAAAAGCCGCCGTTGTTTGCGCATAATGGAAGGAAATAGTTTTCCATATCAAGGAAACGTGGATCTTGGCACCCATAGACAATCATCGGTGTGAATGGCCTGATTCTATTGCATAATAATTCGGAAGGAAGACCAACAAAAGTTGGTACTTTCTTCATGCTCCTCTGTGATATTAACTGCAAATACTGAAGCAATTCCTGTTGGTCTGGAGTCATACTCTTAAGTATTTCCTGGATCTGAAAGACAAGAAGTGTACGTTTTTGTCCACATGTGTCTCACTGCCAAAATGAAGAAAGTACTTCAACTCTGCTGTCTGAGTGGCAAGCTGGAGAAGGAAAATCTAGTTTTTTGATATTAAGAAAAGCTTAAGGAGCAGATTTCCTTAGTGCCATTGGGTTATAAACATGTGTTTGTGAAACTGCCATTGAAGCAATTAAAGCATCGCGATTATTCCCTTTAAAATGCGATTTCACTGCAAAACTTCTAATATATAAAACCGCAGAGAAAATCTCACTATAATTAGGAAACGCTAGTAAGTTATTGCACTACAGTAAAAGTTGTTTTTCATTAAGTATTTTTGGTTGAAAGAACAATTTTACTGCCATATAAAACCCTTAATCAGTTTGTAATGACTTAGGCTGATGCCACTATAATTACTTAGAATGAACTCTACAAGAAGAACAGTTTAACAAGAAAGCAAAAAATCTTGTGGAATAAAAACTTCTATGCTTTATTGACTCAAGGTATGATAAAAATTGCTTGTCTTACTTGTTGTTGTTTCTGTTTAATTGTTAAATTTGCATCGTTAATGATGCCAGTAATTGAAGCCAGCGAAAGGGTAACTTGAACTGCCGAATGCGACATTTTAAGTAGCAATTCTGTTAGTAGCTCCCTCTTTTTGGTCAGCAATGAATCTACTTGTTCTATAGAAGTTCTAATTAATAAGCCTTCATTTAATCATAGATGTGGTACAGTTATGCAAAATTCAACTGAAGTATGTACTAATCCGCATAATTTTGAAAAGCAAGTAGAAAGTTTTTTTTAGCTGATACATTTTAAGAAAATTGAGTTTTAAAGATATTCAATGCTACACTTTTTACAGTAAGCTGATTAGTATTACAAATGTTAGCCAAATAAGAATAAACAAGAAAGAAAACATACGTAAACGTCTTGTCCTTGTCTCGGGGCCCATTCCCAAATGGCAGCTTCTTTCTGTGCCTCGGTAATTGTGTTATTCTGACAGATTCTAAACAACTCTTTCCAAGCGCCAGGTGTTATATGACTCAATAACTGAGGGATAAAGCCACCTATTCTAGTATTTCTATGATGGTGGTGATGATGATGGTGATAGAAATGGCTGGGATATGAAATATGAGGATGGAAAGATTCGTAAAAGTCTGGTCCAAAAATGTGTGCATGTTCATAGAAATGGCCGTGAAAGGAGTCACCGTAAAAGTCGTCTCCAATGAAGTCTCTCTGTGGCGCAACAATTTCAGTTTCATTTTCATAATCCGTTTCAAGGACAGCATCTGTAGTACTGTTAAAATCTTCAGAAAAAACTGCTGGAATTAGCAAGAAGAGAACTAACGTTGCATATGTCTGCATGATTGGACTGAAGTTTGGCAGTTCACTAATTGAGAACGATCTTCCTCTCCTTTTTATAGCTGAAAAGATGGCCATTCAAAGCTTTACAGTTTTTTGACGTTTAAATTGCACTAGCAAAAATTCATTATTGTCGTAATCTCTAACAGTTTCTTACATAAATAATCTTAATTTGAAAAACCTTTCGTAACAATAGAGCAAGTATTTCCGCATCTAAAGATTTTCAATAAGATTTTTTGTTCATCTTATCTTCTGTGTTCCTCATAAAATCCAGTGTCGTCTTTTGAGGGTAGCAGTGCCTGTCTATGAAACAATTCGTCGAAACTTCGAATTGATTACTTAAGGAAATGCATTAAAAAGCAGGAAGAATAAATAAATGATTATTAGACGAAACAAGCTAAAAAATTTGGCGTTCTCGCCTACGTCGTTTATCGTTGCTCATACTGTCTCTTCTCGTAACCTATACAGACATATTTATGTTTTCTGCTTGGCTGTAACCGATTGTACTGGTAAGTTTGACCGCTCCGAAGCATTTAGGTCCCTTTCAGGGTTGATCACTTCTGTGAAGCGCCGATTTCTTAGAACTGTACTTTAGTCATTTGACCTGAGGTACTTGCAGTCACCAAACCAAGACCTTATGTTTGGCCAGTTTTCCAAATCGTGTTAACTCCTAGTCAAGAAATGAGTGACGCTATCAATCGGCTATAAAATTTTAATTAAATTTTTTCAAATTCTGTGCCATTATGCTTTTTCTTTTGCAGCTAACCTCTCAGTTATTTCTAAATGTAGATATTCAGAGAAGCTTCGTCGCTATATTATATTTCGTTATAATTGTACAGTTACTATGGATTATATATTCCACAGTTGCGCTTACCTCAAAGCATTTATCTCTATAAATTACGACGAAATTCGAGTTTACGTGAGAGGTAGTATTCTCACATTTAAAGCACATTCTGTGAGAACTTCTTGTGGTATAAAGAAAGAATTTGAATTTACAGCGATTTCGCTAAAAAACAATAGCTTCTCAGTTTCTAAAAAAAGTTTTTTTTAGTGTAGAATCCTCTGGTCTGCTAGAATATTTGTTCTTGGGAACAGAAATTCTCTAATTTAAAAGATATACTTGTCGACATGATTTGGGAAGCGGTACTCCGAATTGCATTTACCACACCTCATACTTTTTTAGTTCTTTCCTGACTGGAACTTTCAGTCCACGTATAAAATGCGTTAACAATTAAACTCATCTTTTTAAAAAAACCGCAGATATCGCTAATAAATAATCAATAATTAACCTAAATAATTAACCTAACCTAATAATTTATGAGTATTAAAGCCAATCGCGGTCACTGTTGTTTCCTCCAGTGACTTTGATTTAAAATACCGAATTGTCTTATAAAGATCTGCGGTCTTTTCTTATTTTAACAGGTCTTTATTTTAATCTTATCCAAAAAAGGTAAGAATCACAAAGATCAGTACGAACCGCCAGTGGCATATCACCTGTGGCATTCTATTAAGGAAAAAGGCTGAGGGTTTATGAATCAAACAGTTGCCAAGGGCAGCTTTTGAGCACCTTGAATTAGGCAATTTTTACTCGTGATTGCTTCAAAATTCTTAAAAAAAGGTGATTATTAGTGAAAAGCTTAGGTAAATATAATAGAACTTTCTGTTCAGTTTTCTTATTTGTTTTTTCTATACTCGTAATGGGCGGACTGCTGTTGTCATGCATTAACAATACGTATTCCTTAAGTGGAAGTCTAAGGTTCATTACGCTTGCTCGTTTATATCCTTTAATTCTGAACGGTGCTTTTCTGC